CATGATTAGCTAAACTTTTCATAAGCCGAGAGTTGTCGCGATGATTAATTCCAATGAGAGAATTGAAACGGTCCCTTAATATCTTCAGAATATCACTCTCAATCTCTGCGCTTATTTTTCAAAAATCAAAATAGTTTTCAAAATCAAAGATTGACTTTGGTCAAGAGGTTGTTGCGATTAAACGTGTGGGAGGAAGATTCGGCTTATAGAAAACAATTTGACTTCCTGGAAACACACTTGGCGAGATAGCTTCGCCAAGAGAGAATTGAGATCGGAATTGACGGTTATAGAAACAACAATCCGAGTTGGTCACCACGAACTTAAACGGTATTTGATCTATGAAAATAGATGTTGTTAGAATCAATTACCGAAGCCGGAATCAAAGATTGCCTTGGGTATTCGGTATACAAGATAGAGTCACAAGGATAGCCCTTGTAGACAAAGTAACCGACGTGAATCCCGAAGAGAAAATGTTATTCGATGATCTAAAGGAAATTGAATCAAAGCGAAGCTTGAGGCTACGTTTACCGTATTTATTCACAATCTTCATACTCTTATTTTTATTTAAATTGTTTTTATTTATTTTTACCATTTTAATCTCATATTACAAACCCCCTTTTTACTATTTTTGTCTGGTTAGAACCATTCAAACATTAAATTGTGATTTTCTAAGTCCCTGAGGATTCGACCCTTGTTTCTCTATACTACGTATTTCCTTTATTTATTGATTGAGAATAAGGAATTATTTTGACATCGAAAACGACAGTTGTCAGTATGCTACAAAGGTAATTTTTAATCCAAACGGCATTACCACAACTCATACTGATTGCATCAAATTATGAAAATTATTTTAAGAATATCTTCATTTTTTGATATTTAATTAATGATAATCATATTGAAGATTGATCTTAATAAACACCGATATACCCTTTAATTATTCAAAATGATCCTCAATCCTTGGAAATACACTTATTTTTCACCGTCAAATTACTCAATTGAGCATAATATATGCATAGTCACATAGATCCATCCTTCTTTTTCACTAACAACACCGATACGCCCTAAGGAGACAATCTTGATCTAATAAAATTCTAATCTTATAATTCTTATAACTATATCTTTGATGAGATAATTCATCAACCTTATAAAAATATTTTTTAGCCAAAACAACAAAAATAATTTTGGACAAGGGATTTACCTTTATAACAACTATTATTATCTCAAATTCCCCAAAACCGAAACTATATCAAGTTTACCAAAAAATAATTTCTAGTATCTTGAACAAAAAATTTCTATACTCTCGACTAACTGTCACACTCCAGTCTAGAGGATTAATCATCACTACATCATTATAAATAAAATTCAATGGAATATCCCTTTATTTCATTACATAGTACTTATTTATGAATGATTAAAACTAGAGTCAATTAAAACAAACACAAGTTTATCAAAAAGATAAAAATATCTTAATGATCTCAAGATCATCTTTACAGTATTGAGACATAGCAGTAGACATTTTAATAATGATATTTTTGTTCGTCAAAGAGATAAGTAGTTTAACACGTTTCTTATCACTAAAAGATGGGTCATTTATTCCATAAGATGGAAGAAAATCCCTCACAACAATAACTCCTTTTCTGGGATGATGTGCTAAGGTCCTTTCCCATTTACTTTGCTCAAATAAAACCTTCTTCTTAACATTTTCCAATACTAATACTGGCACTAACACCTTTTTATCCTATTAGCTTGTTACTATGATCAAACTAAACATGAAAAATATTATTAAACACTACTTTTACTTTCAGTTTCATCAGGAACCTCATTACCTATTGTTTGAGGTGATCATTCCATTTTTGACATCTAATGTAAACACATTTCAAAATACATTATTAAAGAGTCACATCAATAATCAAATCACATAACCATACCAAATCAATAATATTTACATCATAGTGGCATGTACATATTTTTCACATAATATAAGCTCAGTTTAGGCCTAGAATTGGCTAAAATCGTAGCTCAAATATAAATAAATTTATCACCCTTAACCCGTATACATCCTTGAATACGATTCAAAGATGTCACATACTACACTTACAATCATTCTACAGTAGAAAACCAATACAAATTTCAACCTTTAAAAACTTTTTCAATTTAATCCTTTCAATAAAATAATTTAATCGTATAACTTCAAAATATAATATTTAAACATTAAATTGATATCAATTTTAGGTAGCAACTTAGCATTTTTATACTATTTCATTTCATAAAATAATCTGCCTAAAAATTGCCTAATTAAAAATCCATTTTAATAGCATATACAATATAATTAGTAACTACTATTCATCCATTGCACTAGTTTTATCTACCACTAATTATATTATGTCCATATTATTATTATTATACATACCGATTTTAAAACGATAATAACCAGACAATATAACAAAACTCATAATATACATGCTACTAATAAGTCAAAGAAATGCCAAAAGATGTTCATAGTTATATTGGCGATAGATTTGATTTTTTTTAGTGATGCCTGCAATACTCCTTACTCCACTTGATTATTTCCTTTCTTTATCTGCGCGTGAAAATAATCACACACTAAGTATAACTTAGTGAGGCATTATAAACAAATCGAGGTAAGATAAAAATATAAAAAATAATATAATTGATAACTCTGTAAAAAAGCTATATTTATGGCCTTTTCACTTAAGTTATTGGTTGTCTTTAAGTGTATATAGGGTCATTTAGATGCATATATGAGCATATACTGGTATTTGGTGGTTCAACTTTGTCATGGCATTTTATTTTGTAAATGGTGCTATTTTATGGGAAAGGTTTGTGCTTTGTTGGTGATGTGCAAGTCAATGAAGCAGAGGGTGAACACGAAGGATTGTCGCATCATTCCCAGATGGCGAGTGAAAATAATTGTTGAGTCAAAATGGAACAACCACTATACGCAGAAAAAGATAAAAATGAATAAGATATTTTTCATAGGAGCTACCAGCTGTACACACTCACATGTTTTCTACCACTAACCGTGTATGAGGGGACCATAGCCTCCCTTGCAACCACCTTCAAGTGAAAAGAATGTAGCCAGGGTACTATGGGGGAGATTTGCTCTAAAACATAGGAAATTCATCTAGTATAAATTAGAAAAGTGGCTACTAAAATGAAAAGAGGATTCTTTGAGGGAAATATTGAGCTAAACAAGGCAACTAAAAAGCTTCCAACTTTCTTTCCACTTTCATCTCTTCAAGGGTCTCATCCACAGTCAAGCTCAAGGAAGTGGCGTGCTAGGCATCTGAGAGGAGCTAACATAGTAAGGTGCTGTTCATGGTCGCTTAAGAGCAACCGACTGCGCACTTTTAGAGTGCCCTTTTCTTGATTTTCTTTCGATTTATTTGGGTTGTATGGTTTGGAATACTATTATGGATGTTTAAAACCCACCATGAACTAATCATTATAAGGTGTGGATTTTATGGATGATTAAGTACTTATTTTAATGAATGTTTGATTTTTTATATTCATCTATTTGTTTTTATCATTGTGCTATATTACTTGAGATTGTAGGAGGCATAAGAGTGTCCATTTCTTAAGTATAATTCTTAGTGTTCGAGAGAAACTAGGCTATAGATCCTTAGTGTTTGAGAGAAACTAAGAGGGGATCTACGTGAGAATGGGTTTTAGCTAATAACTAGAGCCTAATTGAACTTTAGTTTTCGAGAGAAACTAAGGAAATGATTTTAATGACTAAAAAAAGTATTTCATATTCGATATGTAAGATGTTTATTTTTCACGCTGAGAGAGCGTAGGGACACTCCTAGTAAACTTTGTCAAGCAAATAGACCATAGAAACTCAAACCATTCAAATAGGTCTTAGGATTCTTTAGAAACCCCATCATTAATATCCATAGTAGCTTGTCGTGTGAGGTTTATTAAGTATGCTTACTTATTTTCGAATTCCCATCTCGTTTTGCATTGACATTTTCAGTTGTTCACATTTCAATTACATTTTCACTTATCACGTCATTTCCATATGGCATATTGATATAAGATCTCATATTGCCATCACATTTTCACAATACCATCAGCATCTATTCTTTTTTTCATTACACTTTCATTTGTGAATATCACCACTAATTGTGCTTTGTTAGTTTAATATTTGTTCTTTAACTAAACTCACAATTTCCTCCAATCCTTGTGGGAATGATACTCACTCACTCTTTATTACTTGTGCGACTATGTATACTTACACATATTTTGTGTTCAAATTATAGTACTCACAACACACAACAAGTTTTTGGTGCCGTTGCCGATGATTGGCGATTGGAAGTATGAGAATTTTTGTTTAGCATTTTTATTTTACCCCTTTATTTATAGTATAGTTTTACTTGTTATTTTCTTTGTTTTTATTTTTCAGGCTTTTCCATTGCATGTCTAGAAGGTCTGTTGAGGATCATATTCATCCTCTAGAACCTAAGATTGAATAGTTTTTTCAACAAAGTAGACGTACTCATCATGCTAATAGAGCCATGAACATTGATCAAACCCAAGGAGTTCAAAGAGTGCAAGACCATGCAAATTCGAATGTTACGGCAAATCAGAATGTTGGAATTGTACCCTGACCTAGAGCTATTCTAGATCACTTAACTCCTTTCTTGGATGATCTCAACCCAGGCAGTTTGGCACCAGAGAGTTAGGTAACCCTTTATGAGCTTAAACCAGTCATGTTCAATATGTTGAACTGGACAAGGCAATTTGGTGGCATGCCTCGTGAAGATGCAAGGTAACACATTCGTACGTTCTTGGAAGTTTATGATTCTTTTAGGCAAGAAGGAGTACACGAAGATGTGTTGAAGATTAAATTATATCCTTATTCTTTGCGAGATAGAGCGAGGGCTTGGTTGAGTGGAATCTCATCTAATTCGATAAAGTCATGGGCTGATCTGTGTAAAAGCTTTTTACTGCAATATAATCTATCGAATATAAACACTCAACTTAGAAATGACATTGCTTCTTTTCATCATGTTGATGATGAATATATGTATGAGTGATGAGACCGCTACAAGGGATTGTTTTGGAAATGTACTAACCATGGAATAAAAATTAGACTCAAGTTGTGATGTTCTACAATGGAGTCAATGCACCCACCAGATTTGGATGCCTCGAAAAATGGAACTTTGTTAGATAAATCACCTGAAGAGGCATTTGATATTCATGATAGGATTACGAATAATTTTTTCTAAATTACTTCTTTAAAAGTTGGAATAAGGAGACGAGGACAAGGGAAATTTGAGCTCGATCTAAGGATTTTGTGTTTGCCCAACTTTCAGCTATCATTAGTATATTGAAGAATATGCAGTGTTCCAATGAGGTGAAAGAAGTGAATATGCCGAGTTCAACATGTCTATTATGCCATGGTAATTACCAAGATAATGAATGCCCAAAAAATCAAGAATCTATCAACTATGTTGGGAATTTTAACTGAAGAAACAATAACAACTCATATTCTAATACTTATAATCTAGGGTGGCTTCAGCATCCTAATATTTCATAGGGAAATCAATGAGTAAATAACGCTAGTCACCTAGCTCAACAACAGAATGTAAATGTGCCCCAAGGTTTATAATCGAATATGCAATGACATAATTCTAACAAGGGGTAGGATATTCATCGAATATAAGTTCTTTGGAAGATAATTTGTAAGAATTTATATAAAGTACAAGGACTATACTGCAAGAGAATTCTTCAGCTATTAAAAATCAAGGAACCTTGCGGCAAAACCACAACACAACTCTGTGAGGTTTGGAGGGGCAAATTGGACAAATTTCCATGACATTGTAAGAATGTCAGTCATGTTGTCTGCCTATTGACACTGAGGTCACTAAACCACATGACAATGAACAATCTAATGCAATCACACTAAAGAGTGGCACCCAAATTATCCAACAAGACATGTTTGGGGGAAAGAAGACTGATGATTCCACCTGCATGAATGTACAAGTAGAACCAGAATTGCCTGAAGAAATATTCGAGGAGAATTGCAATGAGAAGAGTTCAACTAGCGAACCTACTGATGGGGTGAACAGAAGTTCCATAACAAAAGCAGTTCCCACACCATCAGTAGAGGAAGTCAGACCCCCACCACCCTTTACATTAGTGTCCCACTTTTGTAGGCCATTGAGAAAATGCCCATTTGTGCCAAATTTCTCAAGGAGATTGTTACTAAAAAAAAGAAAAGTTGAGAAACTTGAGACAATTTCCATGAAAAAATAGTATTGCTCCACCTTGAGCAAGCTGCTACTAAAGCTAAAAGATATGGGTAGTTTTATTATTCCATGCTCTATATGAGACAACTATGTTGGGAGGGCATTGTGTGACCTTGGATCAAGGGTGAATCTGATTTACATCAATATTTGTGAAGCTCAGGATGGGAGATGCAAGACCCACCTCCATTATTTTACAACTAGTTGATATTTCCCATGTTCGTCGGAAGGGAAGATCGAGGATGTCATAGTCAGGGTGTACAAATTTGTATTTTTAGCCGACTTTCTTATACTAGATTGTGAGGTTGATGCTAATGCACCCATAATTTTGGGGAGGCATTTCCTAGCTACCGGTCACATACTTATCGATTGTGAGAAAGGTGAGCTCACTATCCAAGTGGTCAATCAAAGTGTGACCGTGAATGTCTTTCGTTTTCTCATGTTTGTGGAAGACTCTGAAGAATACCATAACATTTTGGAAATGGTGTCAAAGTTGGAGGAAGTTGATCAACTTTGCACAATAATTTCATACAGAGAGATGATTATGAAAATTTCTTGGAAGTGGACAACATTGACGAGGTGATTGAGGACTGTCCATTGGAGGTACAACAGTCCAGTTTGTTCTCATATAGACCAAGTACGAGCTTTGAACCCCTAAATTTTGAGGAGTTTACTCCTTCTAAGCCCTCGTTACAATATTCACCCACCTTAGAGCTAAAGACTTTGCCATCACATTGCAAATATGCTTACTTGGGTGAGAATGAGATTTTTCCCGTGATTATTTCTTATAGACTTAAGGTTGACCAAGAACGAAGTTTTCTAGTTATTTTGTCACAACATAAGAAAGCACTAGGTTGGACTATGAGAGTTTTGAAGCGGATAAGTCTAACCATTTGTATGCACAAGATTTTACTAGAAGAATGTCATGGTAATTCCACAGAGCCACAATGAAGGCTCAACCCTATTATGAAAAAAGTGGTGATGAATGAGATTATTAAGTGGCTTGATGCTGGAGTCATTTACCCAATATCCAATAATTCGTAGGTAAGACTAGTGCAATGTGTCCCTAAGAAAGGAGGCACGACCGTGGTGGGCAATGAAGACAATGATCTCCTACCTACTCGCACTGTCACTGGATGGAGGATTTGTATGGATTATCACAAGCTTAATAAGGCTACTAAGAATGATCATTTTCCTCTACCATTCATCGATCAGATGCATGATCGATTGGCAAGCAAAGAATACTATTGCTTCTTAGATGGCTATTCTAGGTACAATCAAATTACCATATCACTAAGGACCAGAAAAAGACAACATTCACTTGTCCTTATGGAACTTATGCTTTTAGGAGGATGTCATATGGTTTATGTAATGCTCCGGTAACTTTTTAATGATGTACAGAAGCCATTTTCTCTAGCATGGTTGAGGATTTCTTGGAAATATTCATGGATGATTTCTCTATCTCTAGAGACATCTTTGAAAAATGTCATGGCAATCTAGCAAAGGTTCTTAAGCGATGTGAGGAGGCTGATCTAGTGTTGAATTGGGAAAAGTGTCATTTCATGGTGACTTAAGGAATTGTGTTAGGCCAAAAACTTTCACACAAGGGTATTGAGGTAGACAAAGACAAGATCGAGGTGATTTAGAAGTTACCTCCACTGACCTCTGTTAAGGGTATAAGGAGTTTCCTTGGACACACAAGCTTCTATAGAGGGTTCATTATGGACTTCTTCAAAATTTTCAACTCCTTATGCACCTTGTTGCTGCAAAAATAAACCTTTTGTGTTATAAATTTTTGCCTTAGCACATTCATAGAGCTGAAGTAGAACCTTATCTCAGCGTCCATTGTAGTTCCTCCCAATTAGACGTTGCCATTTGAGTTGATGTACGATGCAAGCAATTATGTCATGGGAGCAGTATTGGGACAATACCGAGATAAAATCTTTCATGTTATCTATTATGCTAGCTGGACATTGAATGAAGCACAACTTAACTATACTATCACTAAGAAAGAATTACTTGTTGTGGTATTTGCATTTGACAAGTTTAGGGAATACTTGATAGTCACCAAAGTCATTGTTCACACTGATCACTCAACTATAAAATACTGAGTAAATAAGAAGAATACCAAGACTAGACTTATTTGGTGGATACTACTCTTGCAAGAATTCGCTTTGAAGTTGTAGATAGGAAAGGCACAGAGAATCAAATTGATGACCATTTGTCTAGGGTAGAGAATATTTCAGAATGTCATAACAATGTGGAAACTAAAGATGAATTCCCCGATGAGAAAATTCTATATACTACGGTAATTTTGTAGTACGCTGACATCGTTAATTTTCTTGTTAATGGTATTTTTCCTTATGACATGAACAACTAGGGAAGCAAGAAATTCAGGCACGGCACAATGAGCCATACATGTTCAAGGAATGTGTCGACCAAATTATCCAAAGGCATGTCCGTAAATAGGAGTAAAAAGAAATTTTACATTATTGTCACATGAGTCCATGTAGAGGCCACTTCGAGGAGCAAGGACAAGTGCTAAGGTATTTCAATCAGGCTTCTATTGGCATACCCTCTTTAAATATGCCCATTTATTTTACAAGGTCTGCGATAGATGCCAACGCATAGGAAACATTTCCAGACGACATGAAATTTCGTTACAAAATATTCTTTAGATAGAGTTTTTCGATGTGTGGGGCATAACTTCATGTAACCCTTTCCATCTTCTTTTGGAGACTTATATATCTTGCTGGTAGTGGACTACGTGTCCAAGTGGGTTAAGGTAATTGCGAACCCAAAAAACGATTCTAAAATTGTACTAAAGTTAATTTTATAAGTACATCTTCACCATATTTGGTGCACCAAGAGCTATTATTAGTGATGAAGGTACCCACTTTGAAAACAAGCTAATTGCTAAGGTATTATAAAGATACAAGGTGGGACAAAATTTCCATGGCATATCACCCCTAAACCAATAGGTAAGCCAAAGTATCTAATCGACAGAACAAGCAGATTATAGAAAAGTGGTGAACCGAAGAAGGAATGAATGGTCACTGAAGCTTGACGAAGCACTTTGGGTCTATCATACCATATTCAAGACTCTGTTGGGGATGTCCCAGTTTAAGTTAGTGTATAGAAAAGTGTGCCATCTTCTAGTTGAGTTAGAGCACAAAACTTATTAGGCCATCAAGAAACTCAATTTTGATGCGCAATTAGCTGGTTAAAGAAAACTATTGGAGCTCAACGGGATGAAAGAGTTCAGGGCACATGCATATGAAAATGCCAAGTTGTATAAAGAAAAGACTAGAAAGTGGCATGATCAAACCATTTTCCACGACATTTTCACATTGGTCAACAAGTACTTCTTTATAACTCAAGATTGAAGCTCTTCCTAGGTAATCTTAAATCAAGGTAGTCTGAACCATTCGAAGTACACCAAGTCTATCCCCATAGAACCATGGACATCAAAAACCTTGATGATGGGACAATTTTGAAAGTAAATGGATAACGCTTAAACATTTACACTGTGCCTCAACTGTGTGTGACAAGTTGACTCTCTACCTACAGGACACCTGAGTTTGAAAGTTCCTCGACATTATGTTTTTGCTACTGCTCATAAATAACACGTGTTGTTTTATTTTTATTTTAGTGATTTCTTTATTTTAATTATTTTCCTTATTTTATTTTAGGTTAATATTCTATTCCACCCTTGTAATTGGTGGTTGAAAATGATACAAGGATAAAAGGAGGAAAAAAACCCTATTTTATTGGTGTTGGGCAACAAAAAGATAAAAGAAGAGGGTGTAATTGTTTTAATTTTTAAAACCCTTTT